ACTTGGCAAGGATGGGCTCACCGATGGCTGGCCGGTGGCACAGGAGGCAAGGCCGTGGCGTCGCGGCACGACTCGGCGTTGAGACGAGGTCGACCGGTGACGGTGGCGGTCGGCGTTCGCTGGGGCTTGTTTGGGCTTCTGCTCGGCGCGGCGAGGGTCGCAGGGGAGGGCTGCTACCGCTGCGCCGATCGGCGGCAAGCCTGGGGACTCCGCGTCGGCGGCCTGCGGGAGGGCCCGTGCTGGCGTCACGCGAGGGCACCCGAGGGCGAGCGTCGAGCGGTTCAGGCGTTCGGCTTCATACGGGCGGAAAACAGAGGAGCGCGGTCGTACGGAGGTAGGAGACGATGCTATTTCTGATGGGGGCGACGGAAAGGAGCAACGGCGGAAAACGTTTGGATGGCAACTGGTCTCTGCCCTGTGGGCCCCCCTGGTTACGGCTTCGACTCCTGCTCGTGCCGCGTGCGTGAGTGCGGCGGACGCGGCGCTTCCACGCACGTGATGGGCATAGAAGAGGAGCCAGCTACGTGCTGGTCCTGGGCCGGAAGCGGAGAGAACTGGGGTGCTTAGGCGGCTTCGTACTGGGCCGATGGGAGCTCGGCGGGGCCTGGGACAAGGCAAGGCCGAGCCAGGCCGGCTGGGCTAGATGGGGAGGAGGGAAGGCGGGCCTGGCTTGGTTTCTGGGCCGCGGGCAGAGGGGGTTGGGCCATTCGGCAGCAGTGCCCGGGAGCACGAACTGGGCTACAGAGACGAGGGCGAGTTGGGCTTGAGGGGGGTCTGCTAGCCAGGAGACTAAGAAAGGATTTTCCTATTTGCCATAGAGTTAGGAGAGAGGGCTACCTCCATGCACAACCAAGAACAAGAACCAAAACACACATGCATCTATAAACTATATGGATATATCAAGGTTAATTGTAAACTCGGTTGAACAAGATGATAGAGAAAGTTAGGGTTTTTGTTTTAGGAGTATTGCATTGCCATGATGTTGTCTTGGTCAACAATAGACAATGGTGTTATTGTTGCAAATTTTTGAAGTCCTAGATTGTGACATCAGGGTTAGAAGGGGAAACGGTTGACTTAAGTTGACCTACCAGGTACATGCAACACACATTGCAATGAATTTTTTTGAAAGCTTGGATTTTTATATTACACAGAATCACGGGATGTTACATAATACAATATTACTTTCATTGTCACCATATAGCTTTGCAACCAACTAACTGTTTACACTCAATATATAGCACCTATAGGTAAAGCTGTGGCCATTTCCTTGGTGTTTCTACTACTACTGGTATTGTTTGTCTGTATCATCGGTTTTTTCAGAATGCGACGGAACACAAAAGGTCAGCAAATCTACAGAAAAAATCTTTCATTTATGAGTGAACCAGGTAGCGTGTCCGTGCGTTGCTACAGGACAATTAAATCTTTTATACTAAAAACACACGAATCGTATGATAAGATAACAATACTGTTAAATTAAATACCGACGTCAAAGTGACATTTAATTCAAAAAGTAAAGTTCATAAAATTAACACAGTCATGGAGAGCGCGACGTCGCAGGCTCACAAACTCTACTGTATAGACTTTTTCGTGATACGACTAAGATAATATTTTATATCGGCACAAAGAATTCTACGATATCCATTTCTTTCATGCGCCAATAAATCCATGAATAAATTCCACTGCATATCCATATAATCATATACACACAGGTTCGAGTATATATGTAAATAGGTTTGTGCCCGTACGTTGCTACGCGACAGCTAAACTTTTGTACTAAAAACACACGGATGATGTTAAAGTGACATTTAATCCAAAAAACTAAGTTTGTGAAATTTACACAGTCACAGAGAGCATGGCGTCGCAGGCTCACAAACTCTACTGTGTAGATCTTTCCGTGATGCGGCTAAGATCATTTTTATACCGGCAGGAAGAGATTTCTGATATCCATTTCTTTCGTGCGCCAACAAATCCACGAATAAGTTCCACCACATCTCCATACCATCCTGTATACGGCGCTGGCAAGCGAATTAGCCACAACTTATGTAATTAGTTTTATAATTAGCTCATGTTTAGTCCTCCTAATTGATATCTAAAAATTCAATGTGACAGGGACCAAAGTTTAGTCCTGGGATCCAAACACCCCCTAACTCTCGACTCTTGCTGGCTGCTTACTTGCACTACCATGCCTATGTGTTTGCATGTATATACTCTAATGCTAGAACGGCTAAGATGGTCTTTAAGGTTGCCATTTATGTATACTGTAAGATTGGGATGCTTTGCACTGATCCATGAGGGTGTCCATGAGAGTCGAATTTTTTGATGCCATTATGATGTCTAAGCTTACCAATCAGATAGAGACGAACTTGATTGTTAAAATATTTTTAACACTACTTTCATATACTCCCTCTGTCCCAAAATAGAATTCATTCTCACTTTCCGAGAAGTCAACTTTTTTTTAACTTCGACCAATTATAATACAGGTATTTTTTACATGCATGTGGCCTTAGGAGTCGACCAATTGATTGTTAAATGTTGCACGTATTTTTTATAAACCTAGTCAAAGTTGAGAAAGTTTGACCTGTACACATCCCATAATGACTTATATTTTGGGGCAGAAGAAGTATATGCTAATGGGAGTAGTCAACTGGAAGTCGTGATGAACACAACAATACTTTCATATTATATGCTAGTTGGAGTACGAAGAAATGCAGGGGAATGGACTTATATACGAATGGTGGGAATATTCGTTTAGGAAATTGCAGAAGGTTCACCAGTCTCACCATGTATAACCTACACATCTTTTATTTGGCACCACTGATGTTCTCAAGGAGCAGCCACTTTTTAATTTCAGGTCTGCATGCTGAAAACACTAAAATTAAGGGCCAACCTCATTGAGTCGTCTTGCTTGATTTTTGCCGATTGTTTCCTTCCATGCATGATTATTGTTTCTTTTCATGCATGTGGCCTTAGGTGATCGATTTGTTTCCTTCAAAGCAGGCGGGGATTGTAGGGATGATAGTTTTTTTTCTATCGCGCGGGGTATCACATGGCCGGAAGGGAGGAGTCTTGCTTGATCTTTGCCAATTGTTTCCTTCCAGGCATGATTATTGTTTCCTTTCATGCATGTGGCCTCAGGTGATCGATTTGTTTTCTTCAAAGTAGGCGGGAATCGCAGGGATGGCAGTTTCTTTTTCTATCGCGCGGGGTATCGTATGGCCGGAAGAGAGGAGCGACAAAAAAAAAAGTCGCACAAAAAAATAGTCTTACTTTTAGTCTTTTTAGTTGTAGGAGATGAAGTACATTAACTCGCATCACACTGAGTCTTAATTAGGCAACACGAACACGAATGAAGACGAAGCACAGATTTTGGGACTAGATGCAAGGAATTCAGAATTAAATGTTTATGAATTCTCACAAGTATTCGAGGCCACATGTAATTTCTCTGAAGAAAACAAACTTGGGCAAGGAGGCTTCAGTCCTGTATACAAGGTAAGATGGTAAAGAAAACACAAGCATGAGCTTACAAGAAGGGACAAAATCAGTCAATGACTGAATGCTGAGAAACAGATTTATATACTGTGCAACACTCTGCATTAGCCTATTGTCTTGGCCATGCCCTGTTCGCTTGGCTCATAAGCTATTGCTGAAAGTACTGTTGGCTGATTTGTTGTGAGAGAAAAATACTGTTCGTTGGCTGAAAAAGTACGGCTTATAAGCCAAACGAACATGACAACTTGTCTCTAGGGTTTAGTCAAGTGTTAGTCAAGTGTCAAAGGACAAATGAAATTACAAAATTGTGTCTCTAATCCCATCTCTTTTGCACTTGTCTCTAGGGCCAATTTCCTGATGGGGTGGAGATAGCAGTTAAAAGACTTGCTTCTCATTCTGGGCAAGGCCTAACAGAGTTCCAAAACGAAATTCAACTCATAGCTAAGCTCCAGCACACAAATCTGGTCAGGCTCTTGGGATGTTGTTATCAGGGGCAAGAAAAAATACTAATATATGAATATTTGTCAAATAAAAGCTTGGATTTCTTCATTTTTGGTATTAGCTCTCACAGTACCACAATTTCTTTGTTCATTAAGTTCAAAATGTTTTTACTTTTATATATGTTTATGTTATATTGGTTTGCAGATGAAACAAGGAGAGCTTTATTAGATTGGAGTAAACGCCTACGATAATAGATGGGATAGCACAAGGACTTCTTTATTTACATAAGCACTCTCGGCTGCGTGTCATCCATAGAGATCTCAAAGCAAGCAACATTCTATTGGACAGTGAAATGAGCCCTAAATTTTCAGATTTTGGGCTTGCAAAAATATTTAGCACATGATACTGAAGGGAATACGAAACGGATCGCTGGGACATAGTAAGATTTTCATATGAATTACTACGATCCATCCTTGTTGTAATACTGCCAATACTGTTATGGCATTTCATTGTTTCTGATACACATCCTTTCAGCGGTTATATGGCTCCAGAGTATGCCAGTGAGGGCCTCTTTTCAGTCAAATCTGATGTATTCAGCTTTGGTGTCCTAATGCTTGAGATTGTTAGTGGAAAAAGAACATCAAGTTTTTATTGATGTGGAGAATTCATTAACCTTCTTGGACACGTAAGTATGTTTACGATATAAATATGTAGTGATTCATGTTTCCATATAGTCCCATAAATGGAAAGCACAAAGCTTTGAATGGCATCACTGGCAGTGTCTTAGACAATCCACTACTCACTAACGACAGTACTGCTTAATGTCTTGTTTTCTCTCCCTTCTTTTGGAGATCACTGGAAGCAAGCTGCTGAAATCATTAAGATTGTCTACATATTTTGATACTGTACACTTTCACTTTGCAGGCATGGCAGATGTGGGATGACGGAACATGGCTTCAACTTGTAGATACATCACTATTAGCCAGTGACTCTCATACACTAGAGATGATGAGATGTATCAACATAGCTCTGCTTTGCGTGCAAGAGAGTGCAACTGATCGACCCCCACCATGTCAGAGGTTGTTGCAATGCTTAGCAATGACAGTGTGACCCTACCTGCGCCGAAGCACCCAGCATTTTTCTACCTCAGGGTGACAAACGAAGAGCCGTCAACTGTTGTTGTGGCATCCAGTGCTAATGGAATGACAATTTCCGCTGTAGATGGCAGATAGTTTTCAATGGTAGTGGTTATCACCTTCAAGAACGAAGAATTCCAGCATCTTAGATAGTTCCATTTTGAGGACACAAGAAAGATCAACATCATATTTGAAAATGGGGCCGCTCCTGAGCTTGAGAAGATCATCTTGTACATGGCCAGCACAGAGTCCAAACTTACTGTGCCTGGTAGCCTTCCAAAACTGAGAGAGGTCGAAGTGAAAGGTGACAAGTCTCCTTTCGCTATTCAACAATGCCAATAAACTTAACAAGGTGACTCTCTTTGATACCTTACTCAAAAAAGGTGATGATCTATATAAACTACTTTCGAAGAACCCAAGCATGTTCTGCCTAGTGCTCCTTGACAATTCATGTGACGAAAGCCAGCTTAGCTTCGACAAAGATGACTTCCGTAGCCTAAACCTTCTCATTATCAAGTGCTATAAGATAAGAAACATCAACTTCAACAGCGGATCTTGTCCTAACCTCGAGAAGATCATCTGGTTCTACAATGAGTGTGGTTTTCTAGACGAAATCCAAATCTCTGGCATGGACAACATTGGGAAATTGAAGGAGCTTGAGCTTAATGGTAACTATGTCACTCGTCAGCTGAAAAAAGACATCAAAGCACACAAAAACAAGCCTGTTCCAAGATATGATAAACCACAGCATAAGGAGGACAGAGCACATGAAAATGAACAGGGTGCTGCACCATGCTTTCCACATTTCACCACCAGCTATTTCTTCAAGAAGGATCAGCACTAGCTGGTCGAGGATGCTAAGGTTTCCATTCTTCTTCCATCATCGTTGGCTTTGTGTGTGCTTGTCCCTGTTTTGTGTGAGTGTTTGTGTTTGCTTATTCTCAACAGATGCACGAATAGGGTGCGGCTTCTCACATTGTTGGCCAGAGGTAGCAGTGAACTTGCCAAGGTAGCTCTGGGTGGCACCATGTTGAAACAGAAAAACCTTTTTGTTCTTTACTCTCTTCCCAAGTTACGGTGTATCAGGATCCGACATTATGCATACATTGATTCTGTACTCATCTTCTACAAGGAAGGATTCGAACATCTGAAATGCTTACTTATCCATGGACACAATATGACTGACATCAACTTTGAAAAGGGAACAGCTGTTGCGCTCGAGAAGATCGCCTTGTCCTCCACCAACATAAAGTCCCTTCGTGGTGTCGGTCAACTTCCAATGTTGAAGGAGCTTGAGTTGAAGGGCAACGAATTATTTGATTCATTCTCTGGAGAAGCAGCCCCTCAGGAAAGCACTGAACCTGTATCATCACCTTCTGAAGATAGAGCAGCTCCTCAGGAAAACACTCAACTTGTTTCAGCTCCTGATGATGGAGCAGCTTCTCAGAAAAATACTGAATCTGTTCAGCCCTCCTGAAGATGGAGCAACTCCTCAGAAAAACACTGAACTTGTTTCGCCTTCTGAAGTTGGAGCAGCTCCTCGGAACAGCACTGGACATGTTTCACAAGCTGGAGATGGAGTAGCTCTGCAGAAAATTACTGAGAAATATCACCTTCAAGAAGGAAGAATTCCAGCATCTCAAGTATTTCCATTTTGAGGACACAAGAATGATACACATCATATTTGAAAATGGGGCCGCTCCTGAGCTTGAGAAGATCATCTTGTACATGTCCAGCACAGAGTCCAAACTTACTGTGTCTGGCAGCCTTCCAAAATTGAAAGAGACCGAAGTGAAAGGTGACCAGTCAATCTTCCTTTCTTTATTAAAAAATGCTGGTAAAATTAACAAGGTGACTCTCTGTGATACCTTATTCAACAAACGTGATAATCTATATAAACTCCTTTCGGAGAAACCAAGCATCCGCTGCCTGGAGCTCCTAGACAATTCTTATGATGAAAACCAGCTTACCTTTGACGAAGATGAATTCGGTAACCTAAACCTTCTTATTATCAAGTGCTCAAAGATAAGAAACATCAACTTCAACAGCGGTTCTTGTCCTGGCCTCGAGAAGATCATCTGGTACTACAATAAGTCTGATCCTCAAATCTCTGGCATGCACAACATTGGGAATTTGAAGGAGCTTGAGCTTAATGGTGACGATGTCCCTCTTCAGTTGGAGAAAGACATCAAAGCACACAAAAACAAGCCTGTTCTCAGATATGAAGAACCACAGCATAAGGAGGACAAAGCACATGAAAATGAACAGGGTGCTGCGTCATGCTTTCCACATTTCACCACCAGCTATTTCTCCAAGAAGGATCAGCACTAGCTGATCGAGGATGCTAAGGTTTCCATTCTGCTTCCATCATCGTTGGCTTTGTGTGTGCTTGTCTCTGTTTTGTGTGAGTGTTTGTGTTTGCTTATTCTCAAGTCAGTGGTGTGACTCTAATAAATGCACATCAGTGCATCAGCTGCACGTGCCATCTGAGTGCATGTGTGTGTGTGTGTGTGTGTGTGTGATTGAGCTGTGGAGCAAGATGCAGTTTCTAAGCTGTGACTGTGCTCATGTGTATCAATTTGGATTTCCATGATTGTTGTCTACTTGTGTGTGGCCTTCCTCTACGGAAGCAGAGGCACGCATGCTGATGCTTGCCTGCCTCGAGTGGTTGCCTCTGTACTGTGTGAGCATACAGGCCTTTGTTGCCCATGCATGCTCATGGATTTGGTTGTGTGTACTGTGTGGCCTCCCTCCGGACCAAGTGGTGTGATTGGCTCCATCCATATAATAAGTGTGATATTTGGCTTGTTAATTGAGTTCCTTTTGTGTGCTGCATGTTTATGATCATCTCACCGAACGGCCCAAGTGACAGGGCCAGATGTTTCATACATCTCTGGTATGCATTGGTGGTGTCTGGCAGCGGTGGACCCAGAAATGAAGCTAGAGGGGGCTAAATAATAGTGGGCTAGAACTCATATTAGCGGCGCAGTAATAGATATAACAAAGAATAGAAATGATAATATCAATTCAAAATGCTCAAGCAATGCGTACAAATAGAGACCATCCCATAATTTCACACCATCTTGATGGTCGTCTTTAATTCTACATTAAAATTTTAAATATGCCATAGTTGTTGAAGAAACAAGATAGCATTATGAATTGAAATAAACAAATACAATAAGTACCATTCATTTCTTGGGCCATGGCAGGTCAAATTTAACATTCAGATTTTTAAGACTTGAGAGTGCTTTAGAATTTTTTTCATCTTCAACAGATGCATATTAAGCTCAAGCCGTGGTCATTTTTTCTCAACTCGGCTCTCTTTAGTTCCAGCACTACTCTTCGATGCATCATTCTTACTAAAATACCTTTCCATCCTTCCTAGCTTTCTATGCCTACGACATATGAATGAAATATTGCAAATTGGAATGTGAGTATTAGGAACTAGTCAACTAGACAATCGAAAATTGAAATTCAACAAATGTGAGTATTATTAACTAGTCAACTAGACATTCCTAATCCTATATACTGTTCTGTATTCTCAGATCTAACCGTGAGCAGCCTGCAGCAGAGCAGAGCAGGGGCGGTGCCGTGCGCTGGTGAATGGTGCCACTGCCCTCCCTCTCGACTTCTGGAATATGGAGCGCCGACCCTGCCACTCTGCCTGCCCGCCTCGGGGACCGCCTGCTGCTGAAGGGGCGACCTGCCACCTGCGGCCAGGCGCCGCTGCGGGGTAAGGCTGCAGTCTACAGAAGGGGCTGCTAACGGCAGCGCGGCCAGTTGGATCGTGGAGGGCTGAAGGCGGAGGCGGTGGCGCGGAGCTGTGGATCTTGGGCGCCTGGGCAGCCTCGCCGTGGCGCCGTCGCCGGGAACGGGAAAGGAATCGGGGAGTCGAGAGCCGCGAGCGGGATGCGGACGGAACCCGAGAGGCGGCCGCCGGCCAGGCATGGTCATGGGCTGTCTCTGTGTTGGGCTGGCCGTGGGGTAGGGTTGCGGCCTTGGGCTGGCATTTGGGGGCTTCCGTGGGCTGCTGAAGACCTACTCGTAGAAAATTTTTGGCCGCGCCCTGGGCTGCAGCCCCCCAGCCCAGGGGCCCATGTCCGCCCACACTGTCTGGTCATTTTACAGACAGCAGAAAAAAAAAATATAAGAGGAGACTTGAAACAAATGAGCAGTTATCTGTTTCCTTTTTTTCTTCTTAGTTATTATAATGGTATACATATCACTGGGTCAGAGTTTAAATTCAAGACATTGAAAGTGTTTGTCTGTTGCTTTAAGGCTTTAACGCAATGTTCATGTATGTTGTTCACATATCTTGTCTCCTGTAGCATGGAAGTATGGAACTACCTGAACCATCGCATGGTTTTGAAAAGCATCTGCATCGATCTGTCACTGTATGGTCCCAGCATAAGTCTAGCATGCTGATGCGGTTGCTACTAGAGCAGCAACTGGATTAGGTACCTACCATGCATGCATATAAAGTCGGCCCAGCTTGGCTTGTATTACCGTGTTGGCTAATGACTGTGCGGTGCGTGGTTGTTGCCAACCTTTGAAGGTTAAGAAGAACCTGTCCTCAAGTCAATGGACATTATGGGTTTGGCATTCATTAGCTGAAAACTAACACTACTGGAATCTCGCTTTTTTCTGTGTGTGCGAAAACACACAGAAAAATGCGAATACCGTCAGAAAAATATATTTTTCTGACGGTGTACCCTCAGAAAAATACCCACAGAAATATAATGACAGAAAAATCAAATTTTTCTGTGGGTTCACCGTCAGAAATAATTTTTCTGTGGGTCACACACGCACAGAAAAATGGTTTTCGCCCAGATTAAAACTATTTTTTCTATGTGTTAATCCACACAGAAAAAAGAAATAAACGCATAGAAAAAAACATTTTTCTGTCGGTCTAGGTGAACTCACAGGAAAATTCATTTCGCCCAGATTAAAAAAGAATATTTCTGTGTAGCCAGCCTCACAGAAAAAGAGTTAAATACACAAAAAAAATTATTTTAAAACAGTGGCAACAACATATTAAAATATATATTTTCCATACAGTAATTTCTGTGCATGACAACAAGGTTCCATTCAAATAATACACAAATACAGTACTCGAAGGGACCTTGATGGGTGACCAGACAATCGATCACGTATCAAGAGTACCAAAACAAGTATCACGCCCGATGTGGCTGGGCGACAAGCAAACTTCAAATGACCAACATCAAAGTTCTAAACCATCACGAGAGGACGACTAGGACACCATGATGAGCTTCACACTTTGTGGCGGTGGTAGTAGCTGCTCACCTCTCTCTCGCTGCTGAAAAGTCTGGCTGACGGAAAGGTGGCGATGGTAGGCATGGTCATGACGCTCTGTAGCGACAAAGAAGCAAGTGTTAGGACTAAGTTCTCTAGGTTAGGACTAGGTAACTCATAAAATCCAGGAAGGCGAAGAAAAACCTAAGTCAATACCGATCAAGTTTGAGCCTAATGTAGTGTATCCCCGAGAGTATGATGATCTTTGGATAGGACGCCGGAGCTACACCCGCAAGAAAGACGAGGTTTGAGTCGGAAAAGCGTAATAAGGAAATTTAAGGAGTGAAGCAGCATAGGGACACAACTTGAGCAATAAATAACAAAGGAATACCTAGAGTCGCCGGCTAGAAGAAGCGGTAGAGGTGTGCGCAGCAAGGCTGACCTATGACATCTTTGTTTTGACTACTATTTTTCCTTCATGTTTTTTTTCTCTAAAACTGCTATGGACTACCTTCCCTTGATACCATAAAGGACATGACACATTCATTTGGAAAAGCAGAGATAGAGACAGGTATACATCTAACAGTTCGTGGTTCTTCTAATTGTCAAGGTCACACACCTCAACTAGTGAAGTGTCAACCCTAGGAACAATTCGGAAATTGTCAAAACAACATGGAAGCAATTGAACAAAGAACAAATAAAAAACTTGTTGAAAACTCAGCTACACAAAGAACCAAAGATTGACAACCAAGCAAAGATTTTGGGAACACTTGAATCAAATTGACAAATGATCGAGCAAAGAGCTGTCTAAAGTTCGGTCACACCAAACAAACAATCTTTGTCGGATGGGTCATCTTTTGAAAAAGCTGTTGTTCGGTCTCTCCTAGCAAAGCAAGCACGAGAAAAAGATCACTTAACGAAAGCAGAGATTTCAAGTAAAATTTGCCAACTAGTTGCTGCAATTATTGGACGGTGACCTTTTCCATGTAAGAAAATTTAATCCACATTTTCAATTGTAAATTGTTCTTTGGTGTGTCACGGCCGATTGAAAACCGCAAATTTCAACCGCAATAGGAAGAAGGATTGGATGAGAGAAGGAAAATTACTGCATTTGAAATACTGAGCAAAATAGTAAGTGATGATCAAGAAGGGCATAAAGGTAATGGAACTGAATGTGCAATTCAGAGATAACATAAACAAGTGTCAGAAACAATATTTCTCAAGCAAAGCAAGTTTTTTTCATAACAAGATTTAGAGTATGAACACTCAGAGATCATGTACAACTCAAATAGTAAGTGATTTAATTACTAGATCACTAGCCATAGCACAAAAGGTATGTCAGAGCAAAGAGAATAATGGAAGTAGCATTGAAATACTGACTTGGCAGAAGGGAACAAAATGCTAGTGCTACGAATGATTCTAGTAGGACCGGGAGGGAGGTGGGGTAGTGGAGTTGGAGCTGCCGCAGCAAAACCCGTGAGATCAAGATAATTCATGGGAAGTGCATGCTAAGGTGCAGGACAATCTTACATATCACTTTCATCTTCCTTAAGCATAACAGGGTATGTTTGTTTTTTATCAACAATGGCATACAAAAAAAAAGGACTAACATCAAGCCAAATAACCAATAGTAGTATATACATTAATAAACATAGGAAAAAAAGTATAATCGTATACATAAGAAATTTGGTTCACAATAGATGATTACCTAGGTTATCTTCAGTAATACAAAAAAATGACTTATACTTTGGTTGCTCACTCAATTCTTTATACCGGTATCACAATAAAACAATCTAGACAAATGAGAGAAAAAACTGAAACATGGAGGAAATGATATCTCAGTCATGATTCATCACTTATACCAACCTCATCATCACCCGATTCACCACCTTCTATTGCATGGTTTATATCAGCAATGCTTGTATCAGCACATCTATCATACACTAAGAAAAACACTAAAGACAGCTATGATACAAATCAGAGAGCATCCTATTGAAGTCAAATGTTGAGAGAATCACACTTTGAGGTGCTACGCCAATTAGCGATTTCACAAAAAACATCCAATTTATTGCTAAAAA